GTTTCAACCAGTGCTTACGTTAAGGTACCGCACAATGAATCCTAGCACAGCTCTTTATAAACAACAGAATTCGACTGCTTTTACAAATAATTAAATCTGTGCACCTAGAACTGAAAAGATGAAATTCCAGTGCATGCAATCGAAAATTCAAGAACCGAAGTAATTACCTCCACCTTCGCAGTGGCAACCATATATTAGCCAATAATGATCAAATAAGCTTATATTTACTGGAATAGTTTTGTATGTAAAAAACAAAAGAGACTAAAACGAGGATGGAAGCGAAAGATGACCATGTAATGCTTGCTCCTTTACTTGAGTAGGTGATTTTGGTAACGTAAAATGTACACACGAAAAGCAGAGGATAGTGAACAGTTGCATGGCCAAAGCTGCCAAAAAAAAAAAAACTGCGACTGTTTACTTGCTTCTATAAGTGACTCGTTTCGTAGATTTCAAAGATTACATGATGTGTGACAGTTTCCTACCAATATTTTTGCTGTTGTAATTTAGTCTTTATTATTTTATTTAAATTTAGTTCACTCTAATGCTCTTCTTCTTCCACCTTTCATTACGGCAGCAAATTAGAACTCCTGTTTATAGAAGTTCCGTAGGTCATCTGCATCTCGCAGAGGTCAGATAAGTTGAAACAGTTCACCAGTTTTAGAAAATCAAAAGTGAAAAAAATTCTTCTTCCTTTCCATTAGTCTTTCTGATCTCCCCATAGAAAATCAGACGTTCACAAGTTTCGTCCTCAATAATCGCATCATCCATAAAATAAAGTCTTTAGTTTCCTCATCAATGAGTATACTAACAGCCAATTAATAAATAATATTTTTCTGGCAATCTCAATAAAAATTTCCAGTACACTCCCATGTGCTCAATTAGAGCTGCGTTAACAAAGAAGCGTAAATTATACGTCATGTAAATCACACACAAATATTTTGTCTTTTCTCTTGATTGAAAACAATATTTTGTTCTAGGAAACGATTTCTTCCTGCTGCCTGATATTCACCGAGTTAAAACTGAGAAAATAAAACCTGCACCCATAAAGCAGCCTGTCAAAAGCGAATGAGCCTTCCCAATTTACTTAACGTCCTTCAACTTCCAGGCCCATCCGGTTTCCCACTTTCAATGCGATATTTTAGAGAGTATGTATCTCCACAATATCGACCATGAAAAAACATGAATAGCTGCATCTTTGGATACAGCAATTTGTAGTTTTGCTTCCGATATGACCTCCAACACATTCTGTTGGTGCAATCAACGCTGCACTTTTCTAAACTCGCTGAATAAAAGATATCACACAAGCAAGTCATAAAAAAAAAATAACCACGAGTTACAACCTCTGAAATTGCCATTTTGAGTAAATGCTACATATTTTTCAGTCCAGTTCTGCCACTGGCGCACACTATAAGCTAATTTTACTTGGTCTCCGAATGTTGGCTCAAAGCCCAACTTAATAAAGTTCAAAAAAAAATCTGAAGTCGATTGAGAAATGCGCGACTGAATGCAGGGCGGTCCATGCATAGCTGACTAGAATTGCTCTAAGTTATGCCACTCTAAATTCTAGTTCCATTACCACATTGATTTAATTTCCATTTGAAACAATCGTTTTCGACTCAATATCGCCAATTCCTTCAACGAACACTTCACCGCTATTGAACTCGACTTGAGACTACATGATTTCCAAGAACACACCTAATAACTCATGCTTACGCGACGACTAGCAATGCTTACACAATATGTGCTATATAACATTAATATAACTTCTGCTAATTGATTTTCGCCATTCACCACACAGATTTTTTTTACATGTAGCTGCACACTTGAAAACATATCTACACTGGTTGATGAAAACTGAAAATGACCAAGTTACC